GTCCCTTAAGGCCCGGTTCACACCTGAGCGTTTTACCACGTGTTCCTACGCGCGGTTAAATGCGCAACAGGTGAAAACCCATGTTTGCCTATGGTCATGGTTCTCACCTGCGCGTTTTACCGCGCGTACGATCGCGTGGTAAAACGCCATACACCCAAAGAAGTACAGGAGCTTCTTTGGGGCGTATTAACGCGCGTATCCCGCTGTATCCATCAGAAACTCGCGTTTGCCGCACGTTTCTTTTACCGCAAATCACGGTAAAACCGTGCGGTAAGAAACGCTTGGCAAACGCGAGTTTCCAATACGCTAAGGTGTGAACCCAGCGTTAGGTCAAAAGCGGTTTTAGACCAGCGATAGTGATTTAGAATCACTTGCAGAATCGAGCGATAATGATTAGTTGGGAAATTCGTCCATCAGACACTGGAAGCGACGACAGCGACGATTCTACGATTTTTCATACCCGGGATGTTTACTAAACCAATATGCAGTGACTAGTAATATTGCACCGTTGTTTGGACAGATTTAAGGGAGTTATTCCTAAGAATTACAGGCCTACAATATAAAACAAGTTTCCATACAAAACAATGTACCGCTTTGAGATTCAAAAATACTGACATAATGGGGGGTGATTTACTAACCTAAACACACGCACACACTAGGTGCGTGTGACTTTTACACAGCAAAGCGTATTTATCAACCAAAAAGTCTCTAAAAGCATATTTCCACTAATGCCATATATGGAAAAATCATGCACATGATGCATATATAATGCTGCTTCACAGTTTAGACAAAAATGGTTAGCTCATGCATTTACATTCCTGCATTCATCAACGCAAGCAACACAACGTAGAGCTAATTTACACAACATCACTTTGTAATTCATGCAGGGCTTTGCACAACACACCTGCTGGGTGTGTACACACTACAAAGGTGTTTAGATTCCACCCATAGATCATGCTGGGAGGGAACACACTACAGAGGCGTATACATGTTCGTGGTGTGTTTATAAGGTTAGTAAATCAACCCCAATGAGTCAGGGAGGTTAAGGCCTTGTTCACACCAAGCGCCGAGCAGATCCAGAGCAGAGCAGGTGCAGGCCGGATCAAAACTGCGTCCAATGTATTCCTATGGTATTTTGAGCTCCAGTTCACATTGCAGCGTGCAGATCCAGATCAGGTAAAAAAAAATGCAGCAAGCCCTATTTTACCTGCTCTGGATCTGCAAACGCATCAAAAACGCATGCAAATGCCTGGAACGCACTGAAAGCCCATGATTTTAGCCTAAAATGCATAAAAACGCATCCAAAAGACTAGCGTGCGTGTGCAGAAACCTGACCGGATCTGCTCTGCATTTGGTGTGAACAAGGCCTTAGTAAAAAAAAAAAATTTAATTAAGTAAAAAAAAAAATGTTTGAAAAAATAAATAAATATAAAATTAAAAATACCAAAAAATAATTTAAGGTCTCCTGACCCCGCGAATGCGTGCATACTAATGGATGCACAAGTCAGGTGCACCTACGTACGAAAACGACGATTGCGCCACACATGTCAGGTATTGCCATGTGTGCTAATTAAAAAATATAACTGAATATTGCAACTGTTCTTGAAAATAAAGCTTTGTTAGTTTAAAAAAACAAACTGGCTCCTAACTCTTGTAACTGGCTCCTAGATTCAAAGCAAATTTGTCAGGCCCTGGGCTAACATGGACGTTACTGGTAATAAAATATTATTGGTAATCAGGCAGCATTATAGTAACATCTATGTGATATTATGTAGGAATAGTCCGGGGAAGACTTCCAATCCGCACTATACTTTGTATTCCAAGAAATCTTATCAGACATCCCAACTCTCCCGGTCGCTCCGGGAGTCTCCCGCTATTGGATAGCGGCTCCCGGCCGCCCAGGAGAGAAACACTTCCTCCCGGAAAGGTTTATCTGCTCGATCGAGCAGATAAACCTTTCCCTGCAATAGTTTTTTTGTTTTTTGTTTTCTGACATCGGGAGCCGCGGCCTGACCGTCAGTCAGAAAAGTAGAAAAAAAGGCATACGAATCCATAGCTAGATTCCTATTGGCTATTGCACTTTGCACCCTGTTTCCTCGAAAATAGGACCTACCCCAAAAATAAGACCTAGTACTATTTGTGGGAAATGCTAAAATATAAGACCTACCCCGAAAATAAGACCTAGTTGTGACCATTCCCAGAGCCGGTGGTGGCATAAGGGGGAACTTGAAGAGCTGCGGGAGAGGCGTGAGAGAATCGGAGGTGCCATCGCTAGAGGGAGCAGAGCCGCATAAGCCGATGTTTCCTCTATAGCGTCGTCTCCTGTCCCAGGCAGAGTGATACGAAATGCACTCCGCCTGTGAGGAAATGATAGTGAAAGCGCGCTTCGCTCATTCTGGCCAGCGATTGGTTAGCAAATTGCTCTTGGAAAAATACGGCACCCCTGATTGCCCTGAATACATGTAGACCGTTGTGCATGAATAAGTGTGGATTGTTGTACATTAAATAAATAAATAAGACCTAGCGTGTGTTTTTTTGAGCCAAAAAAAATATAAGACAGTGTCTTATTTTCGGGGAAACACGGTAATGTACCCGCCCACTGCTGCTGTCAATCAGCAGAGGGGGACCTGAATTTTTCTATCAGGTCCTCTTCTGGTGATTGAAAGCAGAAGAGGGCGGGTGCAATAGCTAGTTTGCTATTGGCTATTGCAAAGTGCAATAACCAATAGGAATCTAGCTATGGATTCTTATGCCCTTTTTTTTTTATATTCTGACGACTGCAACTGTCAGAATACTAAAAACAAAATCAGAAAAAAAACCTGCAGATAGCAAAGGAGCTATTGCTTCCTGTGCTATCTGCCATCATTTCAGGGGGGTGCTCTCTCCCAGCCCCCCCTCCGCGGATGGGGCGTAGAGGGCACCTCCCTGAAATGAGAAGGACACCTCCCTGAAATGGCTTCTTTCAGGTTGGGATCTTTGTCTTATAAAGGGCATTGTGTCAGTCAGATCTGAAGTCTGCTGTGTCACTGAGGCCTGGTGGGCATGACATGCAAACCATATTGTGAGGCCTCAGAACATGAAACTGGCTCATGATGACTTCCACCCATACTGTATATCTAGAGCTCTGTTAGCACGCATCTATGGTTCTATTCAAGGCACAAAAGTGATGTAAATCACAGCCTGTTCATTCATAACTGGGGACACATAGTACAATGTGTCCCCAGTTATTTACAAACATCGGAGTGATCAGCCGATCGCTCTGGTGTTTGCTCTGCACAGGAGGATCGATAGATATCAATGATATTTATCTGGGGACAGCAGCGGGGATCCATGGAGTCTCTCTCATGAGACTCCACTGATGACAGCTATTAATTTGAAGGGGACAGTCTGGGGAACAGTTCTAGTATAACCTCATGACCATGAGCTTATAGCAAAACTGTAAATGCCAGGTCCGTACGGCATATGGACCTGGCCAGCCGGGAACACTTTTGTTCCTCCATATGCCGTACGTCCGTGCGTCCTTGGCAGGGTAAAGGTTAATAGCTAAAAAAGAGTTCACATACATGTATATCACTTTAGTATTTAGGCGTTTACCTGGAGTTCAGCTTTAATGCTACAAGCACTATTTTGATTGCACCGCACAGGACCGGACCGCAGGCACAATGTGCCTTGCCATCCCGTGCGGCGGATCACATTGCGGCCGGAGGGCGTGGCTACGGCACCATTCACTTGAATGGCCCGCCACGCCCCCTCCTGCCCCACTAAAAAGTGAGCCGGCCACAATGCGAGGCAGTGCGTTCTGGACAAAATCGGGCCAGAACGCATCTAGTGTGACTGAGCCCTTAGAGTTCCCTTCACTGGAAATAAGGTGCCAAGCCCAACTCCTGAGAAACAACTCCACACCATAATCCCCCCACTACCAAACTTTACACTTGGCACAATGCAGTCAGGCAAGTACCATTCTCCTGGCAACCGCCAAACCCAGACACGTCCATCAGATTGCCAGACAGAGACGCGTGATTCGTCATTCCAGGGAACATGTCTCCACTTCTCTAGAGTCCAGTGGCGGCGTGCTTTACACCACGGCATCCAACGCTGCATCCGATGCTTTGCATTGCACTTGGTGATGTAAGGCTTGGATGCAGCTGCTCGGCCAAGGAAACCCATTCCATGAAGCTCTCTACGCACTGTTGTTGTGCCAATCTAAAGGCCACATGAAGTTTGGAGGTCTGTAGCTATTGATTCAGCAGACAGTTGGCGACTTCTGCGCACTGTGCGCTTCAGCATGCGCTGACCCCGCTCTGTCATTTTACGTGGCCTACCACTTCATGGCTGAGTTGCTGTTGTTCCCAGTTGCTTCCACTTTGTTATAATACCAGTAACAGGTGACCGTGGAATATTTATTAACAAGGAAATTTCACAGAACACCTGAATCCAATGATTGGGAGGGGCCCAATACTTTTGGCAATATAGTGTATATGTATGTATGTATGTATACACTGAGTGGCCAGTTTATTATGACCACCTGACGTTTGGGGCTGAAGTTGCTAGAGGGCCAGACCCTTATAAATGGGGAAGCAGGTTGTTTACCACGACAGTACAAGTGATTTGTTTCTGAAGATACGGGTAAACAACGTGATTTAACAGCCTTTGAGCGTGGGATGATTGTTGGTGCTCGGAGCCATGGAGCGAGTTTTAGCAAAACAGCAGAATTCGTTAAATGTTCAACAGCAGCTGTTGTTAAAGTGTTTAAAGACTGGACTGTCAGCCGAAAATCTGGGTCTGAACGTGCGAATTGTGGCCGTCAGCGACTAGTCAATGTTAGGGCAGAACGGAGAGTGGCAAGACTGGCCCAACGAAGTACTGATGGGGAGGTCATAATAATCCGGCCACTCAGTGTATATACATACACACAAACATTTTTTTAATTTTGAGTTTTCCTACAGTTACATTTAAAAGCATCACTTGCACAATATAATTTATACAGGTCATAAACTTACTTCTTTAGATCAATGCTTGTGATGCGCTGGGTTAGGTCAGCCCCATAATTTGTAAAATTATTAACGGCAGAATACAAATAATCTACAAGAGGAAAAAGATAAAAATTAAAGAATAAAAAACACAAAATCCTGTTTTCTGAGCATGCAATACATTTGGCAACTATATCAACCCCATTTCAACACCGTACTTCCCAAAAATAAATAGTCATCACCTGGATTTAGCTAAGCAAATGGGTCAGAGACTTCCATTGGATAATAGGTCTGGGTTCAGCAACGTTATGTGGCCAAATAAAGGGGGTCAGCTGGCTACTAGACTAGACTACTAAAGCAACTGGACTTGCTGAATTTTTTTTGAAGAAATTCCACTGGTCATCCAACTAGCTTTCTCAATTCAGAAACTCTAAATTGAAGCAGCTGGTCGGATGACCAGCTAAATGTCTTCAAGAAAAAAATACAGCAAGTCCAGTTGCTTTATTTTTTTTACAGACATTAATACATTCTCCACCCAATTCTCGGGTCTGGCATGTGGTTAAATATTTCCTTTTTGGCAGCTCTCCAAGAAGTAGCAACCATGGGTCGGTATGCGTCTCAGATAGACTGGTGCACAGTGAGGAAAGTGCCAAACAGGTTATGTAAAGTCCAGAAGCGGTTTTTATTGCATTAAGTTAACACCAACATGTTTCTGGGGGATGAAAGTATATAAACAAAAATATCTACTCCAGTGGCTGGTTTAAGTGTCTAATGTCTATTGGAACCTAGATAGGTGTGGAGCTGCAGAGATGGGTGGCAAAGATACATGTCCAGCAATAACTGCAGCAAGTAAGAGCCTCGCCAGGCATGGAACACATGTAAACAAAGAGCCAGTTCTGTGCAAACTGGGCAGCTTAAATCAGCATTTCTGGACAAGTAAGGTAATAGAAGGAATAGAAAGATGTATCTAACATTTTACTATGCAGGATTAAAGTGAACCTGTGCTTTGGATGACTGGGAAGATATTAAAACAATCTGCAATACTGTACAGCACACCCTGTAGAGGGATTTTGCTTGTGTGGATTATATTTGTTGTATAACACTGATTTACATATTGAACAGGTATGTCCATGAAGTAGATTTCAAAGTAAAATAGATATTATATTGCAACTTATTCAGTTTGCATTATACAATATAATGCAAACAAAATATATATCATTTGCAGGGCAGCCATCAGGGGGTACGGCAGATACTCGTGTAAGGGGCCCGGGCAGCCTGGGGGGCCCGCCCGGGTCCCTTACATGACTATCGGCCAACGGTGAAGGGCGAGGAGGCCTGGCCCTAGCAGCGCAGGGCCCCAGAATTGCAGCTCCAGCGGCTTTGAGACAAGCTAGGGCCCCATCAGCGACGCTGCTCGTCTGATGTCGGACTGGCCGGAAGTGACGTCACTTCTGGCCGGTCCGGCGGCAAACAAGGCCATGTGTGCAGGTAAGAGGAGCTAGGAAGGAAGGAAGGAAAGGAGGGAGGGATGCAGCCCTGACCAGCCCACCAGAGACCCCTTCAGAGCCCACCATAGACAGTCTCAGATGTGCAGCATCTATGGTGGGCTCTGCAGGGTCACTCTCAGGTGGGTCCTGTGTCCAGCGCGTCACTAAGCCCTGCGTCCAGCGCTCCACTACGCCCTGTATCCAGTGGCGCAGGGGGGGCCCAGCCTAAAGCCGTGTAAGGGGCCCTAAAATTTCTGATGGCTGCCCTGATCATTTGTCCTGTGAGACACAAATGAAAAAAACCCTTCAGTGTCCATCTGCCAGACTGTGACTACTCACCAAAAGACACACCGTAGGTCTTCATCTTATCTTGATGTTTCTTAGCCAGGTTAGAGATGCTGTCAGCATAATTCTTCAGCTCTATACCATAATCCAGGACATTAAACGGTATAATGGGGGAGTCAGCGAGCTTGTACACCAGGCTTCCACGCAGCTGAGCTACCGCAAGTAGTTTCTTAAATGAAGGATCATAAAACTGATTCACCAGCTCAAATGTCTCATATACTGTGTGGTAGACCGGGTAATTGCTGTATTTGTCCGTTTTCTGAAATCGGAACAAAATCAATGATGCCATCCATACTCTATATTTCATACGTGGTTATTCATGCAGAATATTACATCAGTTCAAGCCACCAATAAGTTTTGATGGCCAACATTAAAAATCTTTTTGTTACATCTTTTATTTAAAAGCAGAATTCCATTGTCACCTGTTTCTGTACCACCTCCTTCTGTCTCTGATGCTTGGTGAAAAACCATGCAGCTCTTTAATTTACTCCACCTCTCCTGTGTGCCTCTGAATTTCAACTGACAGAACATTGCAGTCGGCACACTTCCTGTCTGCAGATGCCCAGTCTCACATAAGACCTGCTGACTGTCTTAGAAACTTCCCTTAGCCTGGTGGTCAGTGGGGGCTTCCTGGACCTTGGTTGTGGGGGGGTCTGCCGTGGACCCGGGTTGTGGGTGGGTCTACCCCCTGTCATACATCACACAGAGACACCCCCCGACATGCAGCACAGAGTAACCCCCC